GTGTGTGTGTGTGTGTGTGTGTGTGTGTGTGTGTGTGTGTGTAAGTGTGTGTGTGTAAAATATATTTTAAAAATAAAGGGTCGATCGCCCCACTCGTCGCTGAAAAACAAACGCGTTAAAAAACCCCCCAAACTTTTGAGTCCGCAAGTCGGGCACAATCGGTTTGTGCCACGACAGCAGATTCGCACCCTTAATCTGGTTAGCAAACCGCCCCGACCAGACCCGATCCCCCAAATGACCACCCCGTATTATCAGGCCTACGTGGTCCCGCCTGGCCGACAAGAGGTCTCCACTCATCCCGACCCTGGGACGGTTCCTCCAGCTGTCCCCACGTACGCCCCAGCCTCCTTGCACAGTGGAACTCGGATTCAACGAAGCCATCGGGCCTGACCTTCGATTTCGTTGAATCCAAGTGTTGGTTATAAATAGAAAACAAGAGGTTTTTGTGTAGATAATACAGGCGCCGAGCACGTAATGTATAATATATTCGAATTTCTCGATCAAAAGTAGCGTATGGTTTCAAATGAGAAGCATTTACGTTCCTTTGATGCCATACCCAAGAAATGCAGGGAAATTCCAGCAAAATACACTCTACCAAGCAAACACTGTGCAAAAGGGCCGATTCGTTCATATGCATGCCAGTGTCATTTATCATCTATAATGTATAGTTTGCCCAAAAAAGTAATGTTGCTGTGTAGAGCCTAGCATACGGCAACGTTTGATTCGACAGTCCAGCGAGCAATTCATTAGACCTATGTTAGGCCTAAGACAAGATTAGCTTACAATTGTCATGCCGATCAGTAGACGGGGAGAGAAAATAACTCTGACGCATTCGATTCTTCTGCTGACATTCCACGCCCGGACCGCGTGTGTCCCCTCCCTAATCCCCATCAGAAACACGCACACACACAATCATTTGTGTGCTGGCCGCCCGTCCGACCTCGACACACGGTAAGAATTTCCTACCAACTGTGCATGCTAATAACATGTGTGTTGGTATGAAAGAAGGACGCTGACTGGTCGCATGAGATATAAAAAAAGGCTAAGGGAATAATGGCCTCACGATGCAGGTGCCACGTATGGTTTCCAGGAATAGATAAGTTTTGGTGCTAGAAAAAAGAGCGAGGCCACGTACGTCAGCTGGGTCTGTTCACCCTGCAAGCGACTTCGTTGAATCCGACTTATTTTGATTGATTTTTATGAATGAAAAAATAAAACGGGGAATCCAACTCCTTTCGTTGTATCCG